CCCGTCTGAAGACGAAACACCACTGGACTCACCAGGGAAAGATGAAAGCTGTGTTGGAAGACCTGCGCAGGAAGGAGATCAATACTGTCAAGACCCTCAAGGAACTCTGGGACGACGTCAAGTCAGAGCTGCCATTGTCAACTGGCATGAAGAAGATCATGGAAGAGGAAATAAAAACCATTATTTAAAGTGTCATAGATAAGACAGCGGAACTAGTCCGAAGGGTACAAATCTTTGGTCTAGAACAGATTTACATCTCGAAACGAGAAATTCAGAAGCTGGTGTAGATTTTACGTAAGACTGACGTAAGATTACGGAAACAGTTGACATTAAGAAAACAGTCAGTCTCACTTAGCAATGGGAAACCGAGAGTATGGTAAAATAGTCTTAAATAAGACAACAGGAGGCCTCGTACAGTATTTAATCTTGGAAATAGATCGTAGAAATAGTAAGACATCACCTTAATTTCGAACATTTCTTCTTTCCCGTCCCCCATTAGGGCCGTTACGTGAACACACGCTCCTTTGCATGTTTTTATGGTTATCTTCTAAAAGCAATCACTTCTAGATAACGATATGGTGCTTTAGAGTTACATTCCTTGCAGCAAAATAGTGTTTTATTATTGTCCTGTCCCATGCTGTGAGAGATCTCCAGTTGAAAGATCTACACTAGACAGTCGCCGTGGTTGCCGATGTTGTTTGTACTATCATGTGAAGCAATCTCATTCCCAGTCTCTCCCTTCTAGGTTGTATGTACCTTAGTTTAGAATATGATTACGTGTTACCTATAGGTACGTAAGAAACTTTATCAGTGGCAATTAATTTTATCAATTCAATGGCTTTGAAAAATCGTTATTTGGTTTGACTTGATCGTTGTAGAAAAACAAACAAAGTATGTCTAATCCATATCTTAAACCAAGAGGTTAGGTAATTAGACCACGGCATATCCTTAATGGTTACTATCTCAACTAGCAAAACTAATATTTCCATCAGTTACTAGCCTTACACTTCGAATTGTTTTACTTATATTTGGACACTTTAGTCTGGCAACCTAGACAACCTGGAGAGCTCAGAATAGATGTTTGTTGCTCTGTGTGGCCCTCTGCATTTAAACTTTAATAAAATATATATATATATATA